TGTTTGTAACATTAGCTCTTTTATTTGTGAATCCGCTTGTTTACTCTTAGATTATAAATATGAGCAATATGAAAAATACTAACTTTTCATATTTTATTGCCTTTGACTTATTATTTGGTTTTTCGAATTTTATTAAGATTTCACTTTTACAATTATTTATTCGTTGAGAAAATAACCCATGGGAAGGGTTGATTTGCGGATGAGGAATTAGCATACTCCTAAGACGATGGTAATCAGATCTATCAGTATTGATTTTTTATTTGAGGTAGGGGATATTATACAATATACTCTTGTCTTTAAATCTCTTTGCAAAGAGTGTTGTATTATTTATCTCGAAATTCATATTTCTATTCGCTATTTTTGATTGATATAAAATTCTGTTAGTTTTATTGGGCTGGTCTGTGTTTTGGGCTAATTACTTTGGGATTGATTGATATATATACAAAGTGTACTTGGAGTATATTTTGTGAAATACGGTTGTGGCCCTACAGGTGTTGCCCAGCTGGTGTGATTGATCAGTTTGAATTTGGACTTACACCTAAGTGTCACTTGTTATGTTATTAGGAGGAATCGAGTATAAGGCCATGTATGTTGTGCTATGTATGTTATGATTGGAATATTTGAGGAACTAAAGATCATGTAACTTTTGTAATATGTAAATTGATAGATGTATTTGTATTTGGAGATTCAATTATCAATTTATTTTTATTGAGATAATTAGAGTTTTGGCCGTATATTTGGAGTTCCTTTTGTAGAATTTCGTCAATTGGTTTATCAGATAACACATCCGAAAAACCGAGACATTACAATTGCTTTAGCAACTTGCATTGGAAAAAAAGAACATATGATCTAACTGGGATTCTAAATGGTTGTTTTACTATGTAGGAGTGCTGTATATGCCTTTATCGGTATGTAGAAGGGGCAGAGCTGTGTACTCTCCCTTGCAACCACCATTTCCACTATGGATGCATCAGCAAATGGCTGCGGATTAATGCAACTTGTCCCCTCTGCAAATTCAATATTCTCAGGGGTGAAATGTTGGTCTGACCGACCCCAATTTGCGGTCCACAAGACATTTGGGGTAATTATTTCTACATAAGCAGAAAATGAGCAGACAGAGATCTAGGTCTTCATTGTCTTGCTAATCTGCTGCTAAAAATGTATAGGGGAATGACAAATTTCTTGCACTGCTCCATCATTTGGTGTCCTGTTATATTTATTTTATTATATGTAATTTTCTTTTTTCCTCGCTTCATGTAGTTCTAAAAGACATTCCAACTTCTTTTTCAAGTTTCATTGTGATTAATCTGTGTAAGTTTGTAATTTAGCCACTTTCTTTGCATAATGATGACCCACTTGAAAACTGTGAGGATAAAAATGGAATGAGAACAATAATTGGAAACTTCTGTAGGCTATCGTATGTAAAGATATGTTTGGTGCAAGTTATTTGAACTTTTTAAGTTAAAAATAGTTTAAATAAACCACAAAAGTTGCATTTAGAAGCTCCCCAGCAGATGTTTTTGGTGTTCGAAAAGCTATGGCTTTGATTTGTGCCTTGGGATATCAGCCTACTAATGTAAGATTGGAGTCGGTTCTCTTTTTTGTACTTCAGAAAAGAAATATTTAAGGGGTTTCATTTTTGTGCGAGTGAATCTATCAAGCTGAGACTGAGGCTTAGTCCTCCTAAAAGGCGTGTCTTTCTCGACAGAATTTTCCACTAATGCCCACACCAAACGAGCTAACATAATTGGTTTATGATTTCTAGCAATTTGGAACAACGGTTTTAATGTTTTTTTCTTTCGAGCTAATTTGTTCCTTGGCGGTCATTTTCAGTTACTACCGGGGATGCCCTTTGAAGGTTTCTATCATCTCTCGGTGGAATACGTCTAGTTTGACGTAGTTAATTCCGTAGAATTGGGCTGGCCTTGGGTTTCCTTGTTATCAGTTTTTTATTCCCCTTGTGTTCATCTACTGCTCACTCTGCTTTGGCCTGCATGTTTTCTAGCCACTCTAGATGCTAGATTTTTAGTTTGGGTCATTGACAAATGCAACATTGCCTTATCTGCTGCATCCTCTTGAAGGTTGTTGGAAAACTAAGAATTCAGGAGAAAATATTCCATATGCATGAAAAATTGATATAGAAGCAAAAGCATGCCAATTAACTCGGTCGGGCTTGGAGAATTAGGTTTATGGGATAGATATTTTGACCCAAAAAAAAAATGCTATTTGGACTTAATTTAAAGACCTAGTAGGAGGAATTAATCAACTAAAACAGTTAGAATAAAAGTTTGTGCCATATAATATTGAAATTTACAACTAATTCAATAATTAAATTCATATAACATTGCTCAATAAACAAATGCAAAAGTTGTTTCTACCGGAAGGTAAAGATGCAAATGTTATTAGGCAAATACTATTCAAGTCTCGGGAGGGGGCTATCGCCTCTGCCCGGCCTCCCCAAGATCTTTTGTCGGTGGGGGCTGTACATTTCCTTTCTTTACAAATTTGGTGCACATAAAATTATCCATCCTTTAATTAATCTTATCAGGGTAATTTGTGCTATTTGTGTGCATACTTCATTGGACAAACCCCTAAAGCCCTATCCATTTGGTCCCATTTCTTTTTCTTTTTGGATTTTGGATAAAAGGTAAAAGATACTGTAATTAAGAAATGGAAATACAAAAGAGGGCAAAGGAAGAAAACATATGGGTAAGCTTCAATATTTCGTATCACTTGCACATACTTGTGCGCGATTATCCTTCAATGAAAAATAAACGAATTCCTCCAAAGTTTTTAGATACCAAGTACATTCTGCTTCATAATTCTTTCAATAAGAGCTATCTATCATCAAATATCCTCTTTGTTTCTTTCCAAAACCTTCAGATTCGAAGCCAAACATTACCATTTTCATTTCAGTGAACTACACATATTTAACACATCGATTTGCCCACTGTTTTTAGCAGTAAAATTGCCTAGTTTTTATTAAAATTATGTTTTGTTCGTGCAATTTTAATAGAAAGACAAACCTGCAATTGAACTCGATCTTGTCACCCCCAAAATCACACTGCTTGTAGTCTGAATTAATGGACAGAAAAGCAGATCATTAAGCAATTTTCCTCGTCAGTCATGCTTCACTAAAGGTCTGGAGAAAAGGTTTTTTTTTTTGGTCAAGAGGAGGGGGGCAGGTAGGTTCAGATCTATAAGAGAAATGCATTTTATGGATCTCTCTAATTGAGAAAATAAAAGGCTGGGAACAATTTGAAGACAATAGACAAAGCCAGAACCTAAACATGATATTGGTTTTGTATAACGACATAGATGATGGAAACTCGGCAGTCAATATTTGGCATATGCAACAAAGAACACACCTGGTAAACACCCAGTAAGAGAAAATATCAAAGTTGCTATGAGGGATGAGCAAAATGAAGAAGAATTCAGAAAGTGATGGAACGAATAGAAGGGCTAAGCCAAATGAGAGGAAAGCTCATGCTCGTTTATAGCAGTCAATCCAAGTCAGATGAAGGTAAAGGGGAAAAATCAATGTGTCAGAAATGAGAAAACATAGAATCTAGGATATTGGCTTGCTGACATTACATAGATAGTAAAAAAAATTTCAGGCTCTCCTCTTCAAATTCCACACAAAGAAAAAAGTCTGCCCCAGATAAAACAAGCAGCCTGCAAAGTGAAACTACTTCATAATTCGTGAAAATGGTCTCAGAATTCTCCCACTACTGTCAAGCTGGAGAGCAGGAGGAAGTTGGCCAAGGCCAAGAAATTTTGTGGCTCAAGTTAGCAGCTTTAGAAAACCACTGATAAGGATGCAACAGCATTGGTTGAGATCGAATCAAAAGGAAGGTATGATTATGGATATATCACCTAAAAGTATGATAAAATCTGGTAAACATTTAGTACATGCAATGAAGGATTGTACCAAAGTGATGTAAGAACTGAGACTGGAAAAAAATTTCAAACACATTTCTCATGCAGATAGCATATACAAAGAGCCCCTGTGGGCAGAACAAGTCCCCCAAAATAGAAAAACTGAAGAGCAATTTATGTAACCGATCTACTACCTGCAAGCATATGCTTCACAACTAATCCATTGGGTAAGTTCCACATTATGGAATGAGACAACTCCACTCAACTCAGTTCAAGAAAATCTTGATCTAACTATTTAGCTTGGGCTATACATGAATTCGTTTTGCTATTGTGCTTTAATAAGGCCTATAGTTCTGCTATGCAACATGTTGCATATAAATTATTTCATTACCTCATATAAATCAATATGAAACATCCTTCTCTTCCTCATTTGTGCAACAAGTCCTTTATAATCATGTTCAAACCATCTAAGTCAAGTAGCTTTTAAATTATTCCCTATTCTTGTTCAATTTTTTTACCAATATATTCATTCCTCGTTCTATCATTTATAGTCTTACCATGCCTTCATCTTAATATCCTCATTTTTGCTAGACTTCATGCTTTAGTGTGCCTTTAATAGCCCAACAATTTAACATCATAATACATGACTAGTCTTATAAATTGTCAAGTAGAAGTTGCATTTCCACTTAAGAGGCACACACAGATCACAGAATGCCATAGAGTTCCTCCACTTAGTCCATCGTACTTTGTTTTTGTAAGTAATGTCATCTCCATTCTCACTCTACTTACAGCTAATTGAACACAAATACCAAGAGTAGTCATTCTCTGGTATCTCTCGATATTTGATCTTTACTAGCCTCATTTGGTTTTCACTTTCACTAGAGTTACACCACACATTCATTTTTTTTTGTAAGTCATATATTTAGTTTCAGTGCTACTTATATTGAATACTCAGGATTTTAAAGTTGCTCTTCAAAATTTTAATCTATTGTTAGTTTCTAATTTATTTTCATCAATACTGGAATTTCCTAGTCTTCCTGCGGTTGTTACCAAAATGAGACATCCCCTGTTAAAAATTTGAGTAGGCCACTAATCAAAGTCAAAGCCATTTGAGGGAGGCACAACGAACTAAAACACCAGTTTCTCTCAAACACTTCGTGATATATCAATACAACAGATAGACCTCAATGACTGATTTGTCAAACATGTCAAAAAATTGAGACTTAGCATGACGCCTATGACTGACTACAAGATAAAGTTTTCTAAATTGTCTTGTAGCAGGGGCAGATGAATCATGAACCAATGTCGATGATAATTAATCTGATTTCAAAAACAAAATTGGAAGAAGTAACATATCCATTGGAGTTTCCAAGCTTTGATTGAACACATAGAAAAAGATATGAATTTAACACCAAATTTCAGGATCAGCACTTAACCTGCAACATAACTTCAAGTAATAGATCATACATTCTTGTTCTTCTTCAACTTTGACGGTGGCCACCTTCCCTTCTTCCTCAGCCGACGCTTCCTAACAAGCTTCTTTCTTCGAAGTCTAATCTTCTTTGCCAATTTCATCTTCATCTTTTGCTCAAGTTTCAACTGAAGTTTGGACTCCAAAGGAAGGTTCTCAATAGGCATATTTTCTTCATCACTTTCTGAGGAAGGCTCAGGACCATTTACAACCATACCATCTACATCAGATGATGCCTTAACAATCATAACACCTCTTCCTTTGGGGACAAAAGGCACATGCACTCGTAGTATATCAAACAATTGGGGACCACTGGGTTTGTGCTGCAACCTGTAGACTAATAAAAACAAGTACAAGGTTTAGATTTAGTTCTGCATTCAATTACATAAGAAAGAAATCATGTTTATTTAATATTTAAACATACCCACAAACCTTTAGAAGAACGAACCAAAAAACTGAACAAACCCAAGGGATAACTAACTCTACAGCTCACAGGAATGGGAAAAGTCATTTTACATTACTCTAGTTTTCTCAAAGTTTTCTTTAGGAGAGAATAGGGAGTAAGGCTGAAATGGCTATACGGCTTCCAAATTCTTTCTGAAACGTATGTTGATTGAAATGGACTAAGTATTCTAATGCACACTATCGAACAGATGTATAGGCACACGGAATGCACACTATTTATTCGAATTAATGCCAAAATGAGAGTAACCAATGACAGGATAACAAATCGTTTAGATGAAGATAGAATAACAAATTCTCACGTTGAAATCTTGGAGGCAGTAAACAAACCATAACCCAAAGATGCTCATAAGGGACGAAGAGAGAATACTTAGCATGTTAAACAACAACCAAATTGATCAAACAACTGCTGATAGCCATAAGAAAATGGTTCCCAGGCCAATAATCGTAATGCAGAAACTAAATGTAAGTTAATGAGTGTGTTAGTCTGTTTTGGGGTGTGGGTGTGTGTGTGTGTGTGTGTGTGTGTGAGGGAGAGGGAGAGAGAGAGTAAATGAAAGTAAACCCATAAGAATGTGAAGTGTAAACTTACACTATTACCAACCAATCAGCTAGAATTGAGAAGCTTGAAAAAAACAAAAAAGAAAGCCCAAAATTCAACAACTGCAGTCAAAGTTTAACAAATAAAAACATATACAGGGAAATAAAAAACACACAAAATCTGATAAAATTACACACAAGGATCCAGGGGTGGAGGCAGGCGGTACACGATAGCTTGAAACCTTCCCAATTATCACGAGTTCTTCCTTTAAATAATTTTTGAAGGGCCTTCGTCATGATAATAGATTGATGTAATACTTGAAACAGGAATACCACAAGTAATGAGAGAAATTGAACTTACACGGGTTGGCCGTGATAGCCAAAATGGGTGCAAATGAGGATGATGAAAGAGGGGAAAGAGAGGTTGGCGAAGTACTAGCAAATACAAGGAGAGCCATCTCTGTTTTCTCTCACTGGCATTTGGTTTTCTGGATAAGCCTGTTATTGTAGCCCCTGCACTGTAATGCTCCACCAGGGGATCATAAATCATATATGAGAGTCCTGATAATGACACTGTGCTGTTACGAAATGGTTCCTGAAAGCCCAATTGATGCCCTAGTTTTTTTTCGTCATTTGCGTCTTGGGTTGGGCAGAATATACTTTGACTCTATTATCTAAATAGAGAGGATAAATGGTTATTAGGTTGATTTTGGGTTGAATTAAAATAAATTCAATTTATTTTTTATTCACGTAGTAAATGAGTTATAATTTTTTAGATTTATAACAGATTGAGTTAAATTAATGGATTTTAAGGGGCCGGTACCCTTTTTAGAAATTGTAGGGCAAAAAGTACTTCTTTTAAAAATATAAGTCAAAAAGTACACAACCCCTAACAAATCTCTAAAATACCATCTTCAGTAGAATAAGAACTGATTCATATATTTTTGCTTCCACAATTGAAATTTAAGGGATCTCAACAGTTACACAATTCCTTCAATATCGCCGGAAACCCTATTATTCCAAAAATTTTCATAAAACTTCTTTTTGGATGTTCAAAATTTTCTGTTAATCGTTGCTGAAGAAAGAATTTTTTTCAAAACTTCACTATCCAAATCTTCACTTTTGTAGTAGAAGGATGGAGAAGGATGGGAATGGTTATAAATTTTTTCAGTAATGAATAACCAACTCAATCACACAATCATTGATATGGATTAGAATTCAATTCATTAACATCTCTTGGTTACATTAAAGGGCAAAGTAGTTTCAGTAAAGGGTCCATCTGGGTGAGAATAATTTAGATAAGGGTTTGAATGAGAGTGGTTGTAGCAGAATGATGGAGAAGGATAAGAGTGGTTGAAATTTTGGGAAAAGAAATTGATAACTCAAGAAAAATATTGTTTCTCCCAACGTTTTTATTTTATTTACTTTTTTTTCCCTCAATTACCTTTCTACTTTTAGTGCTTGGTACTACATGCACACCAAGTATTTGATCATTTACTAAAAAAAAAAATCAAAAAGGCTATATACATTGTGATATGCAATAATGTGACATTGGTTTTTAGTAGTGTGAATTTGGTTTGTAACACTGTGACATTTTTTAGTATCATTGTAATATTATCTTATAGCACTGTGACATTATCGTGCGAAGCAGCAAATCATCATCCAAATCAGAATCATCATCTTGATTATTACGATCATCCCCATTTGAGTCATCATCATTGACATTTATCCTCACATAAACGTAATTGACATCAAGAGACCGTAATGATTTTTTTTTTTAAAAAAAACATATGGACAACATTGTAGCAGTGTAACATTTTCTAGTACTAGTATGACATTGTCCTGTAATATTGTAACATTATCATGCGAGACAACAAATCATCCTCCGAATCAGAATCATCATCTTGATTATTACGATTTATAAAAAAAAATAAATTATACAAATATGGAAAAGACATGAATGTTTGAATAAAAATAAAAGTTTGAATAACTTAAGTTGAATGAAAGAGAAAGATATAATTTAAAATTCAAAAATGATATTCCATAAATTTAGGAAAGTGAATCCCTAATATAACTGTCATATTTGTCTTCCACTAATAAAGGAAAAGGGCAATTTCGTAAGAGAAAAAATTACAACTCAGCAAAAGTGTACCTCTTTACCAAATATTTACACATAAAGGTACTTATATACAAATGTTTTATATTGAGGTACTTTTACACAAATAAGTAGGATAAAGTGTACCTTTTTCACAATTTCTCCTAAATTAATTTACCCATAAAATAATTAAAATTTTTAATAGATATATTAGTACACCAATACACACACATTAGTAGTACACCAAAATATAAACATACACATTAATACACTAAAGCATACACAAACTAATACACTAAACATATACACACTAATATACTAAAATACACATATATAGACTAACACAAAAACTAAAACACAGTTAATAAAAAAAATACACACATAATGAATCGGGTTAATTGTGGGCTATGTGTTGGTCCGTGGGTCATGGTCGACTATGGGTCATAAGCACAGGATGTGAGTTGACCCGTGGGCCATGGCACATGAGTCGTAGGTCGACCTATGGGTCATGGGTCATGGGCACTGGGCGGGGGTCAACCTACATGTCATGGGTGGTATATTAGTGTTTGTGTTTTTGATGTGCTAGTGTGTGTATGTTTTAGTGTATTAGTATATATGGATATATTTTTTAGTATAATAGTGTGTGTATTTTTTGGTATATTAGTATATCTATTTAATTTTATTACTTATGTTATTGAATAAAAAAATAAGAGCAATGTGACATGAACTTAAAAAGTAGACTTAAAAATTAGATTTGATATTTACAACCATTGATTTTACCGTGGGTCTCAACATTTATTAGGACTCATTACTTATTCAATAGTTGAGATTATCAAGTCTAATTTTTAAGTCTAATTTTTAAGTTCATCTAATATTACTCAAAAGATAAATACTTAACTCAATGGATACTCATTTAAAATCATATTAACCCATTTAATTAAAATGAATCATTTTATCCAAACCATTTGGAACCCGTTTAATTAAAATGAATCATTTTACCCAAACCATTTGAAACACGTATTAATTAATATAGGTACACAACCTATTTATTTATGAACGGGTTGGACAGATTAATGGATAATGGTTTAAGATTGTCACATCTACTATTAACCATGGACTCAATTTTATTTTGTCTCTGAACTATTGAATTTTTCATTTGATCTCTTGACTACTTAAATTATTTTACATTGGCCCAAACACAAAACATTCTTTATCTTTTAATACAAAAATTACCAACGTGCAAGCAAATTGAAAAAAAATTACATAACTCAAGGAATAAAATAAAATAATTTTTTGTCAAATAAGTAACAAAAGTCAATAATTGGGTGACATGATAAAATAAAATAAGTAACACATGATAGATGAGGGGGCAATACAAAAAAGAAAAATCATAGTTGATGATACAACGAACAATTCTCAAAGCATGAGCTCAGTCGTGGAGGTCAGACAAGGAGGTCGGGCAAGACATGCAGAGCTCAATGGATCGGAGCCCAAGCTCCCCCTCAAATGAGACAATAACGGGAATGATAAGGTAACAACTGGAAGCTAGAGAATTGTATCCAAGGCGAAAAACCTTCAACCAACCGAGATACTCTCCAAAAATCAAGGAGTAATTCATGGGTGAAAGACTAGGATCTCGACAAGGATCCCATAGATCAAGGAACAACTCTATAAATATTGTAAGATGCCTCCAAGATGAGGCGAGAGAACAAAAATAGAAGTGGCATGATAATATAGGTTCCATTCTCCTTGAATAAAAAGAGAGGAGCAAGAGACTTCATTAAAGAGTGGACTAGTCGAACTCTCAAACTGGTGAACCACTATATCTTCACTGTGCAGTACCCCCCCTTCAATGTTCTCTATCACGGTCCTCACAAGCCTAGAAACTCAAACCCAAATTTGTTAAGCATAATTACACCAACACTGTTCATCCACATTAATCTACACCATCAGTTTGGCACCATCTGTGGGAACGATAGTTCTAGTTACAAGTACGCCGATCCCTCAGTAATTGATCGTCTCAACCCGCAACATGAGCAGAAGCCAAATGAATCCCCCATGAATGCAGAACCAACAGGAGAACATGAGTAGACATCACGAAGATCCACAAAGATTTCTTCCCAACCACAGATGTCAATCTTCCTATGGAGGATCCTCCCACAAATAACGAGTTGGATGCCCTTCGCTTGGTAAATCAACGCCTGATAAAACAAAACGAAGAACTTCTGAAGCTTTTACAACAATCACAGGAGAAATAATCGGCCCAAGGAGGCTAAAATGATCCCTCTCACAAGGAACCACAACCCTTTGATCCATTCCGGGAAGTCGATGAAGGAGAATATAATAGTCAGGTTCCCCAACCTCCTCTAAGGAACGGAGACAATGAAGAGGTGTAGAGCCGAAGTAATGAGATTGGGAGGAATAACCTCCACCCAGCCCAGCAGGAACGAAAAGACCAATATTGGGAACAATGCTTCAAAAATATTCAAGAGGAGCTCAACCATATGAAGGAGGTCGTGAGGGGTAAGACCCCAGTAACCACGGACGCCTTGGTGCAGCAAATCGAGTTCTCATTCACTCCTAGGGTATTGCATTTCCCCCTTCCACTAAAATTCAGAATACCGCAAGTAAAAGCTTTTGATAGAACTAGAGACCCCATGGATCACCTGAACACCTATAAAAACCAGATGGAGTTGCATGGATATCAAGACCCTGTTCGCTGTCGCGCCTTTGCTATAACCCTGAAAGGGTCAGCCTTAGCATGGTTTAACCGGCTTCCTCCAGCCTCGATCTCCTCATTCAAAGAGCTCTCAATATCCTTTGTGTCTCACTTCATTGGAGCTCGGACATACAGAAAGCCGAGTTACCATTTTGTAAAATGTGAAGCAGGGACCTCAGGAAAACCTAAGGTCCTATGTCCAAAGATTTAATTCGGAATCCCTAAAGGTAAATTTCCCGAACAAAAAATTCACAATTACTGCTTTCATAACAGGATTGAGAATATAGTCTAAGGACTTGATGTTCTCCATATCCAAGAATCCTCAAGAAAGCATGGCCGAGGTGTTGGCCAAAGTAGAGAAGTATATCAACAGCGAGGAAGCTCTCCTTTCAAAGGTAGGGAGCTCGTCTTCGCAGAAAGATAAGGAGAAGGAGGAAAAGAAATGGGATCGAAGTCCCAGGAAAGAAAGAGAAAAAAAATAGGTCTCAAAGAAGAGACAGATCTCTTAGGAGAGATAGAGAATGTTCCCCAAAAAGGAGGGAAAATGTCAGAGACCGTCTAGGCCCCCCGTAGCCTGAGTTGCAGCCAAGGTATGCACCTCAGCAGTATACCCCACTCACTACCACTACATGCCAGATCCTGCATGAGGTGCAAAATGAAAAGTTCTTAAGATGGCTGCCTCAAATGAAAGCAGATCGGGCGAAGAGGGATCCTATGAAG